TTCGACTTGTGTTATCATTTTGCCAACACCCACACTTCATCACATTTACTTTTCTAATTGCTACTATACCATTACACCATTTCTTGATATACACTGGTAGAAATAGTTATAATCTTTTGTTGGCTTTGATCTTAGAGAATGCCTGATAAAAATACTCTTCCCTAAATTTATATACAAATCCTACAGATGGATGCTGGGATTTCCTCTTACCAATAAAAAAAGACAATTCTTGGTTTTACCCAAACATTTTTTCTGTCTTGAAATGAGAAGACTGTAACCACTTGACTGTATCCCTTTTATAAATGTTTTACTGTTAATGTTTTATAGTTGCTTTGTCTTGTATTAATTTGTCTTGTCTTGTATTAATTTGTCTTGTCTTGTATTAATTTGTCTTGTCTTGTATTAATTTGTCTTGTCTTGTATTAATTTGTCTTGTCTTGTATTAATTTGTCTTGTCTTGTATTAATTTGTCTTGTCTTGTATTAATTTGTCTTGTCTTGTATTAATTTGTCTTGTCTTGTATTAATTTGTCTTGTCTTGTATTAATTTGTCTTGTTAATTTGTCTTGTCTTAATTTTGTCTTGTCTTGTATTAATTTGTCTTGTCTTGTATTAATTTGTCTTGTCTTGTATTAATTTGTCTTGTCTTGTCTTGTATTAATTTGTCTTGTCTTGTCTTGTATTAATTTGTCTTGTCTTGTCTTGTATTAATTTGTCTTGTCTTGTCTTGTCTTGTATTAATTTGTCTTGTTCTTCCTCTTCTTATTGTTATTGAATTATGGCTGCTTCCTCAACATAACTAAATAGGCAGCATGGATCAGGATTAAAGTGTAAGTCTTTGGTGAGATCTGAAATGGTATCTCTTATCTTAAATAGATCATCTTTTTGTGCCAATAGTATATTTCATGAAAATTTTATCAGTATGTAACATTTATGCTATGTTCCTTCCTTTCCAATTGCTACTATGCCATCATGCTGTTTTGTTAGTGTTCTTAAGTCTATCTAATTTTATAAATGAAACTGAGAAATGAGTTCTAGGTCATTTCGATAAAAGACTTCACTCTTTGATGTAGCTGGATGATCTTTACAAAATGGAGATCTTTCATCTGGGTATTCATATTTGTTGGTTGGTACCAAAATTAAGCTAAGTCAGTTGTTACAGAAATCTACTTCAGAGCAATTGGTTTACTAACATTCGCTAACTTGGCATGTAAATTATACCACAAAAACCTAGCAACATCCAACTGAATTTAATTTTGAAGTATTTCTAACTTAGTGCCACTAAGCATTTATGTTTATTTTTTCTTTTTTAGTCACTAACCAAATCACTACATTTAAAATAAAAACTTTTTAGTTTACTATAAAACTTAGTCTTTTGTAGTTTCTTTTATTTCTTTTGTCAAACAAGTGACACTACACATAAGTAGTATTAGATATAATAGTTAAAGAGACAGAATCTAGATTAAAGAATAAGCTTCTGGTAAAATAAAATCAGAAGATTTAATTATGAAAACACAGTCAGAAAATAATACAAAACAGCAGACATTACTGGCATGTTCGGATGAAATTTTGAATTTTATTAACTTTTAGCAATCTGCATTATTAATATTACTTCCCTTTTTCAAGGCCTCTCAATTGCAGTATACTTATTAATTTCCCTCAAAGTTGTTTTCTGTTGCCATAGCAGGATATGACAACACAACTATGAAATTCAAACACAGAGATCAGAGTCATCTTCAGTGGCAGGATAAACATTTTGTACATCAAATGAAATTACATATGGAGTGGTAAAGGTCAAATAAAACAGCACCATTAACAGACTTAAGTGATATCAAAAGAGGTTGTTTTGAAATTTATCAACATCAATGTTGTTCTTTGTATCATTTGTCTTTTATTATATTACTAGTGTACCCATGCCATCAAAAGTGATGGCAAGAAGGAATGTACTATGTATTATATTGTAAGTAATTTTTGTTTAATCCAAGTACAATTTTGTAATTTAAAACAGTTCATTGTTAATGTTAATAATTGAACAGTGCCCCTAAAGTTATCCCTATATTATCCTCATAAATGTTACATATTTTCAACCAAAATTATGTTTACTGCAAAATTTCCCAAAGCGCAATATATTTTGTGTAAACTTTGGAAGGTCTGAGTAATCCATGACAGTTCGTAAATTCAATCTGTAATTTCAGAGTCTGCTTATTTCTTATTCTATTAAGAGCAATGTATCAACAAATATTTTTTTAAATTTTTTCTCAAGCTATTACCAAATTCCACAACATATTCTCCAAATCGTAACATAAAAACTGTATTAAAACAATCTAATTATTTAATTGTATAAGCTTTTAATTGCTATCATAAATAACATAAATGAAGGATGTAGTATGAATAAAAAAAAAAAAAACTCTTTCAATGACTAATGAATTATTACAAGAATTTCCCCACCTCATTTTTAATTATAATTTTCATGAAAATTAAAATGAATTTCTAAAAATGAACAAAGAATTCTTGAAAATATATGTGGCGTATTAAATATATGAACCCTATCTGACAGCAATATTAGCAAGTGTCAATGGGACACAGTTTGAATGGCACTGGGAAGGTCATTGTTATTTTCCACACTACCCCTCAATTGTGATGTACAAAAAAAAGAAAAGAAAAAAAAGGGGGTAAAAAAAAAAAAGAAAAAAAAAGTATATATATATTTTAAAGAAAAAACAGAATAAAAATATTAGCTCTGGATTTACATTGAGCTCTCAGGATTTCATCATCCTTGGGATTGCCCATATGGATTACCAAGTTCTTCATAACTTAAATATATATATATACATATAATTAGACCTGTGCTTGAATCTTATAATGGTTGATTTGTCAAGGAGCTGATTTCTTGATATTGCCCAGGGAAACAATCGCATTATTGAGAAGTGCTTGAAAATGATACTGTGGCTTGAAACCAAGCCTTGTAAGGGAAATTAGACCAAACTGTTCTGAAACTGTCAATGACTGTGCTAGCATGAAGTCACAAGTCATTGTGACTGAATGTTTGTGTGCACTGATCTTCTTAAACACCTTATCATGCTAGATTGGGTGTACCAGTTGTGTTCAAACACCAGATTATATGCACGTGTCCAGAAAATGTAACTAAGTTTCACTCAGCATAAGTGCAGTATTAACCACTTTTTGGCTATGCATTTATATAAACAAACACATGTACCAGAGCAGGCGTCTGCAACAGGGATTAGCTACCTCGTTAGAATTCATTGTCACCGAAGACCTCACAGACAGCTACTTATATAGTATTGGGTATAATTGTGTTTGAATTGCTTAGATTATTCATTTTTACGAGTATTTCTGATACTTGACATCATAACTTTCAAATTATTATTTTTCAAACATTAAATAAGCAACACGAATTGGTATTAAAAAATAAGCCTCTGGCAAAATAAAACCAAAACAGTCTTAATGATGAGAAAGAATAACCAAACCAGAAAATTAATATAAAATTTTGCCTTTATCCTTGCTAGTGTTTTCAGACTGAATGTTGAATTCTATGAAATGAAATATGGCACCATGAATAGACTTAATTGTGATGAGTCACAAATGATATTTCAGAGCTTGTTACAACTAACCCTAAAGTACAATATCAGTTCTGTATGGGGTTTGTTAATCAAAACCTATTTTAAAAATAAAAAATCAACTTTGACTAATAAGCATGTAAATAACTTGAATTTATTTTCTTTTTTTGTCTGAAATTCATGGGATGATGAGATATCATTATTTACATGTAGACTATTGTCCTTTATTTTTGTTGTTATTACCACAATATTTCAGTGGTTGTGGCCTCTGACCTTCATCAGATGTTTGTTGATCTGTGTAACCTTCAGATTTTGAACTAAACCCTTTATTTAATCTACAGAGATAAATAGTTCTGTTGATCATGTCTCGGTGATGGTTCATCTTATTCTTCCTTAGTACAGCTCAGTTACTGCTCACCCTAATTTTACTGAGTTCAAGTCTATCAGAGATTGAACTCCTAATTACTACATCACGAACTCTGTGTTGATTTAGTCATGAGCACAACATTTCAACATTCATTATTATAATGATTTATAATAAGGAGAATTAAAATTAAGTCAACTTATAGTGATGTGGAGCTTAGGGGTTAAAATGAACAGTTGGTTTAACCACACCAAGCAGATTAATGGAAGATGATAATGACGAGGTAACACATGAGTAATTTTAACAAAACAAGGTAAGGAATTTATTTATGAAATTTACAGTTGTGTCAGTCACTCATTTCAGGAAAATAAATCAGAAATTTTTAAAGTCCATAGTTTTAACAAATTGTTATGAAGAGGAAATGTTCCTACAAGAGATTAAATGATCTGGCACAAAATAATATTAAAAAAAAGAAAAAAGAAAAAAAGAGTTTGTTGCTCACCAAAGACATATGGTTGCATACTTTCAAAAGTAGACAAAGTGAGTTTGAAATACATAGCTTTCATTTTTTTTTTTGTTGAAAGTTCTTTGAAGTGCAGCATGCTTGGTTAAAAGCCAATATAACTGGTGAGTAAATTTGACACTAGCAAAATCTTTCATGCTATGTGCGGTGAACAGAAACAAAACCGTTCCCATGACTTCTCTTATTATTTTAATTTTTCTCCTCATTTTATGTCAAAAAGAATTTCACATATAGCCGATACTTCCTTTTCTTTCTTCTTGGCTCAAAAACTAATTTCTGTGAATGTAAGGTTTTTAGTGGTCCAAAACAATTTCAAATAGGCTCACAAATTTATTTACATCTTTTTCCTAATCCACTGGTCAATCTCTGTGAAGGCAAGGTTTTCATTGGTGCAAAGTAAATTTCACATAGTCTCACAAATTCCTTTCTGTCTTTTTCCTCAGCTTACCCATGTATAAAGGGAGTTATTATTTTGCACTCACTACAAACTAAAATTAATTCAAACTTTCAAAAGAATTTAAAATTTTGAAACTTACCTTGTCATCCCCACTCACATAATGTTTTCCACTTCCAGTTTTAGAAAAGTTAGGGTCCAAGGCAATTGCTTTGATTGGCCGGTCAAAATTTTTTGACTGGTCATTCTCATTAGAGTACAAACCAGTGATGATAATCTGTAGATAAGATGAAAATAAGCTCTTATGAGAATCAAAACTTAACAAGTCAACAATGACTTATCTTTTTAAATTTAGAATTAACCTCCAAACTTAATAAAAGAAAAAAACAAAAAACAAATGAGCAAATATCTTTAAAAAGAACCTCATTTTAATGGTGACCAAATTCTGACTAACCTAATCAGCATCTTAAAATTTTAATATGTGATGTTAGTACAATTAAAGACCATTGAAAATCAAGTCTAACAAGTTGATTTTATATGCAAATAAATTGGTTTCTCATTCAAATGGTAACAAATTTAGCCTTCTTGGTATGACTGGTTATGAGATATGGTTTGGAAAATCTGTAACTTTTTTTACAGTTGTAGATTTCTAGCATCTCAAGTTGATCATGTGATGGCTATTAATGTTGTTTATTGAAATACAAGGCTGAGTACATTTGAGTGCTCCAGGACTGTAAGTGGGCACATTTAGATGCTTCCAGTTTTTGTTAAATAAAACCATATTTAAGAAAAGGAATATTAGTGGTAAGACTATTTCCTTTTGTAAAAATGAATACAAATCAGCAGAATTGCTGTTGTGTTGCGTCTGTAAAAAGAAAACATTTATTTTACCGAAGTGCATATATATTTGATATAATTCACAAAGCAAGAATCTTATAGAGAAAGTTGGTCTTATAGCCGTATCACACTGAAACACTGATTCTTGAATATGTGATGTTACTGCAGTTAAATATATCTTGAAAACTATTGAAAATCAAATGTTACAAGTTAATCTTATATGAAAGTAAACATATTTCTCTTTCAAATGATACTAAATTTAGCCACCTTGGTATGACTGGTTATGAGATATAGTTTTGGAAATCTGCAACTTTTACACAGTTGTAAATTTCTGGCATTTCAAGTTGATCATGTGATGGGCATTAATCTTTAACACACTGTATTATTCACTACTTTTGTTTCTACTGCATTGTTTTACAAGGCTCTTCTACTGCACTACTTAGTTTTAGTCATGATCATGTTCTGTTGCCATAGAAGGATATGACAACACAACTGCAAAATTCAAATGCTCTATCCTTCAGGAAAAAAATTTTGCTTTGCAAACAAAATCACCTCCAGTATGTTAAAGGTTAATGCTGTATATTGAAATATGGTGTTAGGCACATTTGGGCATAAAGACTGTAAGGTGTGAAAATCAGGAAGGTTTTTTATGAAAGTTAATTGATTTTTCTTTCAAATGATACCAAATTTAGTTACTTTTGTATTACTGGTGATGAGATATGGTTTTGGAAAAAGACAACTTTCCACCAGCAACTCTGGTTAATCATGTGACAGGTGTTTACTGTTTATTGAAACACAGTGCTACCCAATTGTGGTCATATTCAGGCACTCCCAAAACTGTAAGTGTATGAAACTTGCAGGCACATTTAGGCACTTTTGGCCTTAAAGGGGGAAATACTACTTATCTTCCAGCATTTCACATTTGATTAATTCATAATGAAAAAACAGTATAGTATGATGAAAAAAGAACCCAAATTTGATAAAAAGTTTTATCATTAAAACGTTTATGCTATTTTAAAGAGGCAAAACCAAAGTATTTCTTTATTATTTTATTAAAGTTTTTAATCCTTTCTAGTACATTCTAAATTTTGGTTAAAAATGTGTTATTTTTTTTGTGTCAGCAGTGGACCAAAGCTTACTATGAGTATTTTTGTGCCTTTTTTCTAGTAAAATAAATATACATTTGAAAATTCTTGCAAAAATCAAATAATTGTCAGATTTTAATGAAACTTTCAGGATTTATTCACAAATGAATGAAAATATTTTTGATTTTTTTTTGTACATCTGTTACCCACCAATTACTTAATTTTGTGAAATTTTAAGAAATCAAATTTTGAGTGCAAAATTTTTTTTATTAGTTAAAAGCAGAACTCCTTGGAAAATGTAAATCAATTATTTTTTCAAACAGTTACATTTCCCAAAAATCTGCTCTGAATCATATATAAGAAATGCAATAAGGACATTATTTAATTAGGAAAGCTTTAATTTCTTTTATAAATAAGACATATTAAGGGCAATATTGTATTAAGAAAAATTTGTTTTTGATGAATAATGAATTGTTACAAGAATTTCATCCAGAGTGTTTAATCTATTTTTTTCTATGTGCCATGTCCCTTTAGGATGTTGATGATCATGGCTCTCCACAATTTTTTGTCCTTTGTACCTCTTAATAAGTTTTTTTTTCTCTTCTCTCCAAAACCCTGCTCCCCCATTCATTTACTGAAGCTTGCTAGGTAGGTTATGCATTATTTTCCTCTCTCCCTCCTATCTTCAAACTGTCCTTTGCGCATCAAATTTTCCTAGCCCACTTTCCTCATTATGTGTCCCAGAAATTTCTATACTAATAGAAAAAAAAAAAAAAAGGAAGAGAGAGAAAGATTATTTTTGGTTGGGTACCTATTCTAAAACTTTCCTCTTTTTTATTATTTTAAAATATAGTTGATTAATAAAATATTTTACAGAAAAGAAAAACATAGAACCCCTGATATTGTTGTTGCCAGAGAATTATAGTAGAAAAGGATTAGAAATAAGCAAACGATTTTTATTTCAAGTGGGTAAATAAGAAGGTGTGGGGTGAGTAGCCATGGTCAAATGCAAAATAACTAACAGAACTGTTCAATAAACAGAATTGACAAAGTTTGCAATAAGCAAGGAAAAAAAAGAAAAGAACACGGAAAAATAATATAAATCAAGCAAACAATATATGTACTACTGTACTGTACTGATGCGGCATTCACCCTGGGCGGATTGAGCCGGCTTCTTCCTGTTATGAGAAGAAGATTCTTGGGATAAATTACAGAAGTAGGGTACCCAGGCCTACTCGGATAACGTTCTTGCTTGCCGTGGGGTTCCCACAGACGCAGAGACAGGAACGACCAGAAGTGGGGGGGGGTAAACGGTAGTGTCAGAGCTATGCCGCCCGGAACTTCGTTCCTGGTAGGGCCACCCAAGGCGGACAAGTCTGACACACACGCCGGCTAACAAGGGCTCTGGTGAAAATCCAAGGAGCGTCTGCATCGGTAAACAATATATGCAAGGCAAGTTAACAGTAACAAGGCAAAGCAACAGTAATATGGCAACAAGTTCACAAACCAAGAATTGGGGTTGACAAACAAAAGCAATTTTGGACAGAGTTCTGACTTCAAGACAAGACAGACTGGGACTGAGTCAGATGAAACCGGGAACTTGAAATTTTTGATGAATCTTGATTCTTCAGTTGATGATTGAATAAACTCATGGTATGTGCTATGACAATAAAACATCCATAGAAATTGTTAAATATTTGAGCTTAACAACTTTAATAAAATATTGTAATAACATTCATAAATATGAATGCTGGTCAATATTTAAATGAGTAATGAGGTACAAATGAAAATATTTGAAATTGGCAACTTTTTCCATTTCACTGAAAGAGACATGACAATTCCATCTACTCTCTTTCATTTTCTCATGAACCCAAATAGAATCTTTGATATGTTTTATCTTCTCCCATCAAAATGGAATAGTCTATTATTTATGAAGTATTGGCAAGAGACATTAAGCACTTCTATCTTTCTTCTTTTCACAGAAACCAAGTAGCGTCTCTGATAAGTTATCTTTTCAAGCATTTGAAACGGAATAGTCCAATATTTATGAGGTATTGGCAGGGTGTAATTGCCGAGCAAACTGACGAAAGGAGGGACAAGCATGATTATTATATAATTACATAAATTATTTAAAGAAAAAAAAAACAAAATTACAAAATTACAAAATGAGTTTTATATCTTTAATCAATTTGTCTGCCTTTTGTAAAAGATTCAAATGTAGAGCTTCAAATGAAGTGAGTGAACATTTGTAAACAGGTGAGAAGAGAAAGAACAGAAGCCATTGAATGCCAATAACACTTTTAAGAAGACAGTAAATAAGAACTAGGCAGCCATTAAAATCAATGTCTTCAGAATGAGCTCCTTTAGTGAGTTTCAAGAGAAGGAATAAAAAAATCAAATCAAATCACCAAACTTGTTATTGTTATTAGGAAAAGTGGGGAAGGATATAGACGAAGCATGAAAATATTTGGCATGTAAGTATAATGAGCACACACACATATATATATATATATATATATATATATATATATATATATATATATATATAGGATAAGGAACAAATAGGAAATATTTATAAATAGATTTTGTTTTTATTTAAACTTCATCAGAAAAAAGAAAATATGGAGGAGAAATATATATAAGGCTGTTGCATTTGTATTTATTGACAAAAACTGAAATTCGAATAAAAACAAACTTGTACATAAATTTAATGGATATAGAAAATAATATAAAAAGAATAAAATTAGAAGGGTTAAAAATGACAACATGAAAATAAGATAGAAAAAAAAGGAGAAAATAAAAGAAAGAAAAAAAGAGGAAAAGCAAAAGTACAAGAGTCAGAATGAGGACGAAATGAGAGACGAACATGCAAGATGTTATCCAATAGTTTAGAGAATTTGAACAAATCAATAGTTTTGTTTATCTGTCAAGTTGCTGGGCATTTCATGCATCTCTCAAAATCATTCCACTTTGAAATAAATAATTTCATTTCTAAAAGCTATTTTAAACATCAAGTTGCCAAAGATTTTGGATAACAACTTGGATGTTACAAAAAGGACAAAATCAAGACATGAATTTTTAAAAATACAACATTTATGAATTTAAAAAATATGAAAATAAACTGTAAATGTGTTTGTGTGTGTGTATATATATATATATATATATATATATATATATATATATATTATATTTTGAATGTGCTGTGTCTCTACAGGACATTTGTGACCATAGCTCTCTTTTCATGTTCTTTGTATATATATATATATATATATATATATATATATATATATATATATATATATCTCCAGGTACACTGAGAATGAATAGAGTACAATTCATATGTTCATAATATTTA